TTTTGTAAAATATAAAGATTTCCCACTTTAAATATCCATTTTGGTTTGCTTTCCAGCGTCGATATCGTTTCAGGCACAAACCAACAAACATAATATGTTTTAATGATACGATTGTACAAGTTACCAAACAAAAAGTGTCAAGTTCCAAGTAAAGATATGAATGGGCTCGGGGTCAGTCATCGGGCAGCATCAATGCACCCACTGTTCGCTTGGGAACCCAATTGCGCATGCGCAGTGTTGCACGATGCGCTAATGCGCGAGTGTAAACTTTGCAACAAACGTCACAATGTAAACTGATAAATCCATACGAATATTATAAAATAGCTATCCGCCATCTTCATGCCAGTCAGCCTTTAGGGATGGAACCCTAAAATGATAAAACTACATCATATTTCAAAGGGTAATTTATAAAATTCTCGCGATCAAAAATTACCCTTAAATGTATATTGTTATTAATTATTGTTATATTTAAAATATTATTGTTGATAGCACGTACGGGGTGTACGTCTTCGTCATTATTGCTATCTCTTTCTCCTTACAGGTTGGCTGGAAGAGATCACTTTATGCGATACCTACTTTATTTGTGAAATAGTGTAAAATTGACTATCTTTTAGGTTCCTTTTTAACTGACTCTAAAATCGAAAAAGAGAAGGTTCTATGTTAGAAGGCTATGTATGTTTTTTTTATGTATGTTCAGCGATTATTTCACAAATTTATTTATGAGATAGCTTATGGGGCCCATGATGGTCCCATATCTTCTTTTTCGGGATCAGATCATGATATAAGAATAACCTATTTATGTATATTCACCGATGTTTACGCGAAATCTTGACATTTTCAAAAACCTTATAATTAATATAGGAAACTTTATTGCCTATATTGAACCGGCTGGAAATTAATCTTGGGACCTTTAATATAACATATAAGTGGTATAATATACCTCTATACTAATACTATAAAGAGGAAACATTTGATTATTTGGAACGAATATGCCCAGAACCTACGGGAAACTACATCATATGCCATGAACATAGGCTATATTTTATCCTGAAAAACGACAAATAGAGGAAGTCTGTATAGGGAATTAAAACATAATAACCATTATTTACGATTAAATTTGTCATTGTAATAATATCCGTGTCATGATATAAAACCTTATCCATTTAATTTATTAAATTCAATTCTAAGCCTGGATCGGGTTATTTTGGGCTATTTTTTATCCCACCAAATAGACTCACAGAGACCACGTGGGCGAAGCCGCTGACGGAAAGCTAGTATCTTATAAAGAGATTTAACTGTTTGTTGGTTTGTTTGTTTGAATTGAATAGGCTCCGAAACTACTGGACTGAAAACTACACGATGAGAAAAAATCACCGTTGCGCGCAAAGCCGTTGCGTGGGTACACACAGTTTTACCTATGATTTAGTATCAGTTTGAAAACGAATTATATTGAAATTGATTTCAACGCTATGCTATACGATCGTAGCGAATGGCTTATCGATGTGTACGTTATATGTGTATTTTTAATTAAAACCTATTTAAATTTGTTATGACTATAGCATATGGTATCATAATCTGATGTAAACTCGCCCGGTAGGAAACTAGTATTAGCTTATATGAAGGAAAAAGCGGCGTGATGGATCGTTGAAGACATTTAGAGACACCTTTTAGGCATGGACCACAAAATGAAATCTACAATAGCTGTACAGATTTAGATGAAATTTTGCACATAGATAGCATGAATAAAAGTCTTTCTCTAATAAAGATTTATTATTAATATATGAATAATAGTCCTTAATCCAACAGACATAGTCACTAGTCATAATGGACAATTTTTTTTACTCAACCATTCGGAAACACCTAAATGGATTATCCTGGAAAAGCCTATTATAATACTTTTCTTTCCACTAAGAGGCTTCTCGGGTTCCACGCGGTTAAAACCATTACCAGAAGTGAAGTGCCTCATGAATTTCATTCAATATACTGATTGAAAATTGAAATCATGAAATAGAACTCGGTGCCCTAACAACTGCAATCTCAACCATCAGGCTTAGATATTAGAGTTTACATTATTTGTGTCATAAGTAAAAATCAAAGAGAAAACATTTAAGAGGATTATATTTATCTGGTGCTTTTTGAACAAAATCCTACTAGATATTATAAATTATCTTCTAAAGGTGATTTCATATTATAAATGTAAAATATAAAGAAACTTGTAAAGGTTTAAAAGTAGAGATGTACTGGATCGTTTCGTATTCGGTATTCGGCGTATTCGGCATCTTTTTTACTATTCGTTTTCGGCCGAATTATTCGGTTTTGGTGCCGAATGTATTAGGTTTGGGTATTTCTATTTTATTGGCTACACGACAAGGTATAAAACTAAAAGACAAAACTTTTTCAAAAAATTCTCCGAATTTTCCACGAATTGTTGACCGATTTTCAGTCTTTTTTTGTTCGACAGCTTGATGGACCGAGATGGTTCTACTTAAATTTAATCGAAAGTTTATTTTATTCTTTTTGGGGAGCTTACAGCATTATTTACAATATAATTACATCTATAATACTTAAAGGCTAATAACAAGCTTCCGCATATATAAAAATTGTATCAGTATTTTCCTTTATAACAAAACAAAATATGCTCTTCATCAGACATCACCTAAATATTTTGACGATATGTTTACATGGGCGAAAAAAACAAAAAAAAAAAACGCGAATTAGCATTCATTCAAATTCGAAAAGGAGGATTTTTTGTGTTCACCGGTCATATTAATTTCTAACCAATTTCTATTAAACTAGCTGTTTTGTCGCGACTTTACCTGAGTAAATTATTTTCCTATATCCTAGCCTAATTCTCAGTATTTTATAATAGTAACACTTAGTTTATGTGGCTTCCCGTAGGTGAAAGAATTTTATAATTGGACCAATAGTTTCGGAGCCATTCAATGCAAACAAACAAGCAATCACATCTTTTTCCTCTTAATAATATTAGTATAGATTATTGGAAAAATACTTTACTTTGTTGACATATTTTTATACAGACATTAAATATTTTTAGTGATACCTATTATATATAAAAAAAATATGACTAAAAAGCATGAAATATATGTATATATTTTTTAAATAAAACATACTTCAAACTTTAAAAAGGGATATACTTATAATATTTATCTCATTTACTTATCTAAGAAACTGCAATTGAAGTCAGGCCCTTATCATTTAATCAATAACCTACAGTAAACCTCCGCCAGACTTCAATAGCAGTTCTTTAAACAAGTTGTTTTTGAGATATAAGTATTATTTAAAATTTTATTTTAATATTGGTTCCCTACTTCCGAAATCATTGTTCCCTATATTACAAGTATCACTTAGAAAAACTCTGGCTAAATAAAAATAATAAACCGAATAATTCAGTATAATTTTTAAAATTCAAACTACTAATTGGCGCATGTCTATTTAAAAGTATTCTACATCATATCAATTGTAACAAATATAAACTATATTCTTTAATGTACATATCTTTACATCTTATCCACCTATAAGCAAGTCATAAAGAAGATATTATAAATTTTATGTCCCTAGAACTGGTATTTTGGATTTTGCCTAATTTTTATAAGTGTGAATGAAAAGAAAAATTAATACCAGGAGCGTGAAAGATGTGTAGCCTATTCCAGTGTTAGAATTTAGAATAAATAAAACAAGTATTTTTATAATGACAACAGCATGTTAGAATTTAGAATTAATAAAACAAATATCTTGATAATGAAAACAGCTTTGAATATTTTATATGACAAATTTCCAATGACAGCAACATTAATATATTCTCAAAAAGCAGAATTATAAGATGATACCGATGTAATCCTATCACTGGTCTTTACAAAAGTTTCTTAACAATCTCACTATTTAATTCGATGCCACTCATATGGAAGGCCTAAGCCTCAGCAGTGGTAACGTAAATAGACTGGTGATGATGATGATGGCATCTACAACATCTCATTAATAAATTAAAGAGATTGCATATGCATAGTATAAAACAAATTCACTTTTGACAGTCTCTATGCTGAGTTCTTTTAAACTACACAACAGATTTTTACCTTGTCGTACTTGGTATCCTAGTACAGGATTCACTCTCTCATGATGGTGACAACATTTATGAATTAGCTCTAAGTCTATTGTAGTTATATGTTAGAAGATTGTCTGTAGCTATTGTGAAAGAAATAAAGTGATTATTATAATTATTAATGTGATTATCATAATTATATAGAGTAATTCGAGTGAACGACTTATAAGTATTATACAGGACAGTTCATAGAAAGGTAGTGAATTAGAAAATTGAAAAGGTACTTATGTCATTAATTTAATAGATTTTTATATCAACTATTAATAAATAATTCAGGGCTATTAGTAGGTACATATTTATAAGACATTATTCCAAAGTTAATAATGTTAACAAAATCATTTGTCTCTTGATTATATTTTTTCCAAGATTATAATGAATCATAATTTTTTCATAGAAACTTAATTGACTAAACATCTAACACTACTATCGCTACTCTCTACTCTACTACCTCTTATCATAAAATTGTTATTTATTTGGGGATCACTTGATAGTAAACACATTTAAATTTTGGGAAACAACTTGATGTTATTGTAGAATTCATTCATTTTATATTATTTATGTATGAGAAACTTTAAATTAACTTTAATTCAAGGATTGTGACAATGAATTAAATTAATGATAACTAATGACCAAATTCACAACTTTTAGATAATCTTGATTGTAAATCGTATTACTTATTAAATTTGTCACTAAAGTTTAAATTTAGATATAATAGAGTAGTTTTTTAATGTGAACAAAATAATAATGTATAATTTTGAAAATAACTAACATTGGACACCAAAATGGAGATTTTAAAATTATTATAGCAAATTTTTATATTGCATTCATATTTAAATCAACATTAATATACTTTTTATATGCTAAATAAATTCAAAATACTCACTGCAAAATAGTATCGCCGAATCAGTAATTACTTTCCGCAAAATAAATTGAGTTTCACGATCAAAATTAACTGTGATAGAATGATTGCGCGAATTAGTTTTGCGTTCGTTTCTCTCCATTTTTAGTTTCTTTGAACTATAAAACACTATCCACTGAAAACGCGTTATCAAAACGTTACGAAACAATCAACAAAATCGACAATTTTTCAACATAAACAACACACGTCAAACACAGAGCGCATGCGCGCGTACACTGTTGATTTAACCGGTGCGTTTATGAAGTTTCTTACGATAATATACATACACGTGTTTAAAAATAGTTACAATTGTTGACACCTCTTTTGTATAAAAATTAAAAGAATAATAATAATAAAAGAAATGTAACGTTGTTCAACGTGTATTTAGATATATATTTTTCTACCGAAAATTATTAATTGTTTTACGTCACGTTAAATCGATAAAAATCCTAAGTTTTGACACTGATTAAAAAAGGTCATCTTTTATTTAAATTTATTAATTTTGCATACTGATTTTTAATCAAAAGGTTGTTCTTTATTTTACAATACGTAATGTTCTATTATTATGTCTAGGGAGGAACTAACTTTTCTAATATTATTTTATTTTTAAAATAGTGTTATGTCTTATTTGCCCAAAATGTTTTATGTTTTACAAACCCATGATAAAAATGCATTTCAGTAAGCTCTATTCATTAGAAATTAATGTTTAAAATTATTTTAGCCTGTTTTCTTGAAAAATTCTCTGTTTTATGTTTTATTGAGGTATCAGAATTTAAAAACAGACAATGCCATCTACCCTGTTTACTTTATAAAAAGTTATTTACTGGTTAGTGCTTCTCCGTCAAGTACTATTTAAACTTACTGCGCCATCTATGCGCAACATTGTAAACTACTTCGGACCGCAGCATGTAAGACGCTATCTGTCGAGGAAAAGCTGAACTAAGAAATATGTTGACTATTGCTAGATGCTGGATAGGTGTCGCTAGCAAAGATGGACTGAACCTGGCACCAATAGATGGCATTACTATCCTTAATTTTGTGGCAAAGATAGAGATAATACAGAGAGCGATATAATATTATTTTTAACCACTCTTAATTTTTAACTGAATTCATCTTCATAATCAAAAATGAGGAAGTTCTATGTTTGACGGGTAGTAGGTAGGTATGTTCACTGAATAGTTTCTTATGATCGAAAGCTTACGGTATGTGCTTAAATGGTGGCTTAGGTTTGTTTATAATTGTCTTATAGTTTGTTAATAAGTAGGTAGAGAAAGGGTGCCATATGAAGATTATATCTGGTTAAAAAGAAAACGTAGTTCCGGGCATGCATATAGAAACTTATCATAAAGTAAAAATATTAAAATTCACCAGTCCGATGAACCAAAGAAGAATGGAATTGGGACTATTTTAAAATAAATATCAACGTAGCATTTTGAATAAAGTATTGTATATTAACAGCACGTGTAAGTGAAGTAGGTATAATGTAAGTACATTATGAAAATCAGAAACAAAGAAAGTAGGTACAAGACTTATGAAATTAAGTTTTGCACTTTCGAATCTAGGTAGGTATATTGCCTTTATTGTCTCTTTTGAACTTTTTAAAATTAAATCGACCGGGAATAAATCAAACACTATATTTCGTTTGATCTTACTATATGACATGTCTTATGGTGAGTAAATTTGGTATAAACGACTAGTTGGTAACACTGCTATCAAATCCATAATCATCATTCTTTATCATTCGATCGTTGCTACTAAAGTACTTCTCAAAGTAGTAAAATGAAACGAAATATTGCCATAACATGGATATATGACATGGCATAGCTAGAGAGTTAAGCCATGTTAGGCGGTCGCTCTGAGTGGTAAGTGTAAGTTTTACGCTAACGCATTCACTAGTAAGCGCGTTAAGAATTTTTATGGAGATTTGTAGTTTTTGGTAGTTACCGCTAGAGGCGCTGTTCCGGATTCCATACTAAAATCTTAAGGCGCTCACATTCAACAGAGAACGTAAACGTCGAAAAAACTGATACCAAGCGCTCTGAAGAAGTGGCGTGGGAACCCAATAACCATCACTTTACTTAAACTTCTAAGTTCATCATTAGCTCTTTTACGTCCCCACTGCTGGGGCTCAGGCCGATCTTATGGATGGTCAAGGAGAATGGGCCACTCTGCCCCAATGTGGATTGGAGGGTATTAACGACTGCAAATGCAGCCGGGACCAACGGCTTTACGTGCTTTCCGAACACGAAATGACTTATAAAGCAAGAAGTAGCTCGAGATATTTTTTTTTGGTCACCCATCCCGCGACCGACCCTTGTGAGAGTTGCTTAACAACAACGATCGCGGTCCGCGGCGCTTATCCACTACGCCACCGAGCTAGCCTCTTGTTTGCCTATATTTTATTGAAGTAGCAAATTAAGTAAAGAATTTCTTTGTTAATTCATATTTAGCCATATGGTAAAATGGTCTTCTACTAAATATTCAGTAGCATCAATGCAAACAAATTCCCTCTAATATATTTTGGTGTCGCTAATACCGTAATTTATGGTATTTGTGACACCAAATTATTGCGATGCACCCGCCCTCTATTGGTGAGGCGTGACAATATTAAATACAACTGGATTAGAATTAGTTTTATTAGAATTTACAAACGTTTATGTTCCATTTCAAACATGGAAATGAGAAATTTAATTTTCAAAGTCAATTAATTTTATCTGATCTTCTTTATTATCTGGCATTATATTTATAAGTACGACGATAAAGTCTATTCCACTTTCATCATCTGGGTTATAAAATTCCACATTTTTTGGTTTTAATCACCCTGAAATCACAGACTTGGGATCTTGCAAGATGAGCTCTGGACCCTTCACATTAACGCCTTCACTTTACATTGTCATAGGAAATAGTTTGCAGAACTTGACTTTTCTGAATGACAAAATCAAATGACGAAATAAAGGCCGATCATTTCAAATACTTAAAAACACAGCATGATCCAGACATGATCGCTCTGCATTTGAGTCTTTTTCAATAAAACATATAATCCTATCACTAGGACACTTGCCACGCAAGTGTTTAATGAATCCGATTATAAACGAATGTGATTCCTAGTTAACTTGTGGGTGTAGCGCTAAAATGACGCTTACCAAATCTAAATTACATTTTCTTAGTAGATTCAAATAAAAATAATCATAAATGTAATATTCCAATATCTATAGAAATTAATTAGTGCTTTTAAGTGGTACCTTTAGTATAAGAATGATTTTTCATTCTTTTATATTTCACAAAATATAACTAATATCGGGTTGGCACAAAAGTAATGAGACACTTGGTTTAAGTTTTACTTTTTTATTATTATTACAATAAAAAAAGTTTAGTCAATGATGTAATTACCATTAGTATCTAAAACTTCTTGCCAACGATCCGGCAAAGTTTGGATGCCTTTTGCCCAGAACTCTGATGGCTGTGCCTCGAAAAAGTTGTTCAACTCCGCCTCTACGTCAGAGAAATCATTAAATTTATTACCCTGCAAATGCTGTTTCAGGGCTCTAAACAAATTATAGTCTGATGGGGCGAGGTCTGGGGAATAAGGTGGGTGGGGTATCGTCTCCCAGCTCAAGTTCTCCAACTGCCGGCGAACCGGCGAACCACAGATGCGACGTGAGGTCGAGCGTTATCGTGCAGTAAAAATACATTGACTCGTCTTCGTCGTTTTTTCTTGATAGCGGCAGATAATTTGGTAAGCTGGGTTGAATATTTGCCAGCGTTTATAGTTTCATTGTGTAATAGCTCATAAAACAGTATGCCTTGCGCATCCCAGAAACAGCAAAGCAGAATTTTTCGGCGGTTCTTTTGACTCGGCTTCGGTTGAGTTGGTGGCGTTTCTTCTCGAGGCAGCCAAAAAGCACGACGTGTATCGTTCTCGTAATAAATCCATGATTCATCTCCAGTAACCAGATCTGACAAAAACCTTTACGTCGGGGTCGCAGCAAAAGTGACTGACAGATAGCGACATGGACTGCACGACTGGCGTCCGTAAGGATGTGCGGTATCCACCGAGCCAAAACTTTTCGATAACCAAGCTCATGCAGATGGTGTTCCACGGCGTGGTGACTGCATTTAAGTGCTTTCGCTAATTCACGAGTGGTAGCATCCGGATTCAACTGCAGTTCGCGGCGCAAATCGTCATCATTCACTGCGGGTGGTCGCCCTGAGCGTGGCTGACTTTCAAGGCTCCTGTCTCCTGATTTAAAACGGTCAAACCATCGGGACACCGTCGCATGGCTTGTACTTCCAGCGCCTAATCCATTGTTGATATTGTCAGCCGTAGCCCGCGCACTGTGGCCTAACAAGTACTCGTATAAGTAGGTATAGTGTTCGAACTTGTCGCTCGTCCATTTTTCTTCAAACTGACTAAACAAATTGCGAGCGCGGCTTTATATACCCTACACCAGAAGTACCTAGAATGTTCTACAACATTCTAGAATATTATCGAAAAAATTGATTTTAAAAAGGAAATGTTATAGATTTTTCTAGTGTGTCTCATTACTTTTGTGCCAACCCAATAATTATAAAATATTTTACATTTAATCATTGCTCTGAAATAAATTCGAAGATGTTTCATATACCATAATGTTTATTGTAGTTATATAGTTAAGGTATATTTAAATATAATAGAAAATTTAAAACATTCCCATGTTTTATTGTCTGTTGGAATTTTAAATACTATTTATTGAACAGTATCAAGTAATTATATAAATTTATTTATTATCGAATAGTGTTGCCACATCAATTTTATTCTGTGTGACAGCTCTGTACGAAACGAAACTGAAACAAAGATAAGCTATTGATGTTGAATTAACTTTAGGTATTTGTGTAGATTATGTAAATGTTGAACGTATGATATACAGCCAGTTGCAGAAGCGTGTATTAAATCTTTTATTAATTTAATGTGACATTACCCATATAATTTTGACATTCATTAGAGCTTAAAGGAGTCATTAAACCTTAATGAACGTTTGTGCAACTCACCGATAGAATGATAATAATGGATTTATTTAATTATTTTTCTCAAATCCACTTACAGATTAGACATTTTCAAACTCATGAAGCGGAATAACCCCGTAACATTACTAAGATTTCGAGTCCCATGACTATTCAGTTAGATGATCGAACTCTGGATTTTTCAGACATAAGACATAACCCAAGTGGTCTTTTCATTCGTTCAAAGTATTACCTACT